CCCCCCCCCAAAGCCTTGTCCACTCTCTCCTATTTGAAGGAAGTCATACCCCTTTCTAAATGCCCATGCGCATGGTCTCTGACTCGCTAAGGCTGCCTCTTGACTTTTGTCTTACGTGAAGGGTGTTTATGTTGTGTCTGACCCACTTATTTCAGCCTCAGAGAACAAACTCTGAAAGGCTGATGAATGTGAAGCCCTCGTGGCAGCCACGTGTGTATCCCCAAGTCTTCCATCTGATCTGGTCCTCATTTTCTTTAACAGAAAACTAAAAAGCCTTGAGCAACTATCCCACACATGAGGAGTACCCCATACCAGTGACTTTTATATCTCAGGGTATTTTGGAAACTATTCTTTCCATTCACTACTTTTTCCAACTTTGCTTCTTCTGAAATCTCTCTCTCATTCATATCTCAGATTCTCTGGTAGTCTCATCTTTCCTTTGTATACAGAATTCTATGGGGAATATTGGCTTTTTTTTGTTTAATTACTGCGAATATACTGCAGTGCGGCTAAGGTGCATAGCAGGGTGTCACTGAATCACAGATATCACAGAGGGGCTTGAACTGTTAGAGAAACCTGCTTAAAATGCAGGGTTTCTATTTATGATCTTAAAAGCCATTATCTGCTCCTACTAGGAATTCCTTTTGATTGATGTCTACTCTGGGTTTACCCTGAGACAAGAATTTGTGTGTCACTAATTTCCTTGGGCGTTGGTTCCATAAACCTCCCTGCCCGAGTGGAAAGTAAGACAAAGAAGGGACACCAGCCTAAAGAGGGGGCATTATTAGGAGGTTACTGCTGGTGCCACCAGAAGCTCAATCATGCTGACTGCCTTCTGAGAGCAGGTGGAACACAACTGAGTTGTCCTTTCAAGGACGAGGACCTGGGTATTAACCACCAACTTGCTCTTCTCATTGGTGAAGACTTGCTGTGGCAGCATTGGCCCCCAAGCACATCCGACCCCACTATGGCCGAGCTGCACAGGCTCCTGGGGACTAGGATCACCATCAGGCACAGAGACACAAGTAGCCAGTGGCACTGTGGGGCTTGTTTACAGTAAGCTCCAGGGTGGGGATACAGGCAGGGCACAGTAGTCTTTTCTCTATGGCTTTCTGTCTTTTCTCTATGGCTTTCTGTCTTTTCTCTATGGCTCTGTGCCAATGTGCCGTTTTGGTCTATCACTCTTTCTCTACTCATATCTCTCATTTCTCTTTACCAGACTCCTGTAAAAGTTTGCTTTTGTTGCGCTTAACACAATTCCCTTTATTTTTTGGAATGAGCTAATTTGGTTTTCTTTCCCCCATTGGGCTCTGTGACGGTTCTGGCAGATAGACTATTGGTTAATACTGCCTACAAAACAACTAAAATTCACCGATGAGTCAACAAACCACTAGAACAAATACTGATTCTGCTCTTTCCAGTCGGGATATGAGGATAGAGCATGAGCTCCAGGATTGCCCCAAGACATTCCATGAACATGGTCNGTTAGGATGCAGCATGAGCTCCAGGATTGCCCCAAGACATTCCATGAACATGGTCGCATCATCATCCGTGCTCATTCCTTAGTGCTTTATATATTATAACTACCATCTTCACATTATTCACTGAAATATGATCCAGAAAAGTGGAAAATACTGTTAAGAATGTGGGGAACCCAAGAAGGCTCAGAAAAGCCATATGAGAAGAATTTCCAAGAGAACTTATTTGACCTTCTGCTCATTGGAGGTTTGGGTGAGAGGAGGAAAAGGAGCCTGGATATTTTATATCAAAAATTTAAAATAAAATCTAAAACATACAGAAAAATAATTGCCATTGCCTTATTGGGGCGGGGGGAGGGGGGTCATGTATCATTGAAAAAATAATTAAATTGCCAGCATAGTGTCATGTTTGCAGGTGCTGTATAGTTGTAAGCAAAGGAAACCCAAACAGATTTGTTTTTGCCTGTGTCTACTTCCAACATTAGCAGGGACTGGAGGAGAAGACATTGACTAGTTCTTTCAACTTAGATGTGGATAAATATCTGGCAATTTCTATTTTACTCACTGGCTCTCACTAATTCTCACTCACCCTCTCTCATCAGCATAAGTGACTATATCCTTCTATCTGCCTCCCTTGCCAACAAACCTCACGTAGAAAACTCTTAATTTGTTGAATAATGATTTTAAAAACATGACTTTATTTTATTTTGTTATGTACTAGTTGAATTAATTTTCTATTTCATTTATATCATTTATTTGTCACATTATTTTATTGTTTTTTTTAAATCATGATACATGTTTCCTCTAGGATAGAATAGAAACTAAATTTGTATTGGATGCTAGGTAGTATTATTGCATACTGCATGAAATTATACTTACTAGTGAGTTCACTGATTATTAGATAATTTGATAGTTAATATTTTATTTCTTAAATATTTTATTTTTATTGATTTTTAGAGAGAGTAAGGGAGAGAGAGAAAGAAACATCAATGTGCAACATCGATCAGCTGCCTCCTGCATGCCCTCCACCAGAGATCGAGCCCACAACCCAGGCATGTGTCCTGATAGGGAACAGAAATGGCAACCTCTTGGTGCACGGATGACGCCCAATCAACTGAGCCATGTCAGCCAGGGCGATAGTTGATATTTTAAATGCATTATATACATAGAAATTCTTGGTAGATTTTTGTAGCTGTGTTTAAGAATGGTTTACTAATACAGAGAAATTGGTTTGGAGATTGGGATGGGTTGGGAAAGAAGAAAAGCTAAGTATGCTTATATTTTCATATTATTAATGTGCTCAGCTAAAGAATTATCTACCTCAAGCTTTTTCTTTAGTTGTACAGAAAAAATAATTGAGGCTTTTACAAAACAGAGACAGACTCATAGATAGAGAGCAGGCTGACAGCTGTAGGGGTTGGGGGAGCTGGGAGGGGTGTGTGGAGGGATTAAGAAAAACAGAGAAAAAGCTCACANGGTTGGAGGAGCTGGGAGGGGTGTGTGGAGGGATTAAGAAAAACAGAGAAAAAGCTCACAGACAAAAACGACAGTGTGGTGATTGCCAGGGGGAGGTGGGTAGGCAGAGGTGGAAGAAGGTATGGGGGGTGCAAATGGTGATGGACAAGGACTTGACTTGGGGTGCTGAACACAATACAGTGTACAGATGATGTATTGTAGAATTGTGCCCCTGTAACCTGTATAATTTTGTTAACCAGCGTCACCCCAATAAATTCAATAAAAAAGAAAGAGTTGAGGCTTTTAAATATCAATTCTTCATGTTTTTTTCTTACCATTCTCTATGAGTATAAAGAAGCAGTACAGAAACTTATTTCCATACTGTTATGAATTGTTCCTCCATTGTTTAATTTATTCTTTTTTTAAGTGCCTTTGAAAAATTATCTGAAATGAATGCAAGTATACACAAATAAATATTGAAATAATAAAGGTAAGTACAAATATCTCAACTCCATTTTACCTTTCTCTATTTTCATTTTAAATTTTAACTTCACATTTTAAATTTTAATTTTTGTATCTAATTCTATAAATTATAAACCACATTACAAATGCAACTATTTCTGGACCTACAACTTTATCTTTAAAATTAATTTAAAATATATGTATATTTAGCAAATTAGTGTACTAACCAGTCCGACACAATTCTTTTTCTCTACTCCCAGAGAACCACTGTCACCTCTTGTAGCATTTATTTACCCCCTGATATTTATCACCATATTTTTAGATAATAAATATATTTTCATATTTATTTTATAAATCATCCATTTATATATTAATCACAAATATTTAGTCATCTTCTTACTTAATCATATGCTTTTTCTCCCTCTTTCTTCCAAAGTAGTTATTGCACAATTTTAGTTACATCAATAACTTTTATATGTTATGACTGCACTAAATCAAGTAGTATTCTATTAGCATGTTTCCATTCTTTACAACTTGGTTTTGTTTTATTCTGGCGTGATAATGCCCCTGTTAGTGATGTTCATTTGCTGGCTTGCATAATTTTCTATTTCCAATACCTCTTACATGTTCTAATAAAATTTTCACTGCATCAAATTTTTCCAAGGTTCAGAGACATCAAATGCTTATCAACTCTTTTCTTATTCTCATGCACCTTTCTTTCTTTCTTTCTTTCTTTCTTTCTTTCTTTCTTTCTTTCTTTCTTTCTTTCTTTCTTTCTTTCTTTCTTTCTTTCTTTCTTTTTTAATATATCTTTATTGATTTCAGAGAGAGGAAAGGAGAGGGAGAGAGAGAGATAGAAACATCAATGATGAGAGAGTCATTGATCGAGCCCACAACCCGGGCATTTGCCTTAACCAGGAATCGAACCCCTATCGCCTGGATTTCAGGTCGACGCTCAACCACTGAGCCATGCCCGGCCGGGCCTCATGCACCTTTCTCCAAGATTTCCTCAGCTTTATATTCTAACCCATTAGTTGTAGTTTTCAATTTCTTTTAAGAACACTTTATAACATTTTCCAAAAGAATTTTTCCTTTTATCTTTTTAAAAAATAGTATTCTATTCTTTCTACCTAGGTTCGTTCTTGTCTCCATGGAGCTATTTGTAGTAGCGATGTATTATTTTTCTCCCTGCAAACCGTTGCTAATAATCATTGGTTAGTTGTTCTTTTGTAACTGAAAAAATATGGGTTTGACTGCCTGCTGCAATGAAAGCCAAACTCATGAGGCAGGTGCTGGTGCAAAAGGAAAGGGGTTTTATTCAGGTGCCACTCAACCTGAGAG